TTGCTTAAGACACTAGGAGTGCCTTGGCTCTACTGTGAGTCAGTTTGCAGATCTGCAGAGTTATTTGCAGTAAGGGAAATGTGACCTTCATGTGCCTGTCCCAGTGCCCACACTGCTTTATCAGGGAACTGGTGATTTGACAGAATGCTGAGCATTACTGACATGAAAATTTGAGCTTTTGAAGGACTGGGAGCTACTGTAAGGAACAGTTTCAGCCCAGACTTGCTAAATTAAGTCCTTCCTAAGTCACAAGTAGGTGCTGAAGAGTTCATCCCTTCCTTTCACCCTCTTGTAATTGCCCCTCTTATGAGACATCTTGCTCTCTGAGGAAGTGTTGTTGCTCTGTCTGGGTGCTGTTTGAAGGGGTTTCCTTTTTTTGGAAACGCTTGGGAAAGTGCTTCTCTTCCTGCACTTCTTTGCGTTAGGATTCCTTGGCACACAGTAGATCTGAGCAGACTTGACAGACCCTCTCTCTGGCACCTTAGATTCAGGTCATCAGTATTCAATCTCTCTGAAGTCAAGTGTTGCTAACAGTCTGCTTAATTCTTCCTTCCACTGAACTCTCTCTCTGTCTACACACTGTGCTGGAGACTCATGGTGGATCCTTTGCAGAGCTGAGGATTATAATGGATCAGCTAGCAAAAAACATATCCTAAGGGAAAAAAAAATGCATAAGCACAGATGTTCAGTTGACACCGGAGGTTTGTATGGCATTATTATACGAACAAGGAATAGAGAATCTTCTCCTTCTACCTTCACCCTTGAGTGCTGACATCGCTTGCACCTGTAGTGGGCTGTTCCAGGCAGCTGCTGGGGTCTTCTCTTGTCTTTCTCTTCACGACCTGGAGAGTCTCTGAGCTTCTGCATGCTCGTGTGCTACCTGAAGGTAGGCTTCACTTGGCTGTGAAAGTGAGTCCACTTGAAGCACTAACAGCTGGACATCCCTTCATTACATCTGAGTGAGGCAAATGGTGTATGGCAGACTGCAGAACTGCTTGCACAGACAGTAGACAAGTGGTGTCCTAATTAGGTAACTGAAGGCGTGCTGAATGTGCCAGTGATGGTGATGTGTGGCATTCCCTCTAATAATTGTCCTGACAAACCATGATAGCCTGGTGGTGTAGATGGCCCTTTCTTCTCGTCCTATCAGGGTGGGTTGCCCAGCACATCCTGTTATCAGTGGGCTGATAGCAAGCAGGCTGTAGCTAGGCTTTGTTCTTGCCTTCAGAAGAGCTGCAGCATGTCAGTAACCTCTTGTGGGCTCCACATGATGCTTTTCAGAAGGAGCTCGTTCACCTCTCGGTGGCAGCCGTTTTCCTCCAGGCTGTCATTTCGGAGTGGCAGTTCTTTTTGGACTTGTCAGGTCTTGAATGAAGTGCACTTCTCAGGCAATTGCTGTTCAAGAAGGTTTTAGCTTCTTTGCTGATCCATGCTCCAAAAGTGAGCGTGTAACGTGCTCTTCCAGAGTGCTGGAGTTAAGACATGCTGTCTTCCCGATTAACAAGTCAAGCTTTCCTTTTTTCCCTGTAGTGACCACAAAGTTTGAGCTGAAGTGCTGCAAGTGAGATGTTCTGCTTTGTGTTGGCAGCACCTGGAGGCAGCATTTCTCTGCAGGTAGCTGCTGGCTCTGGGATGGATCAGCCAGACCAACCTCCCGGCCTGTCTGCCCTCCACAAAGCTGACGACTCGACTGCTTCTCTTGAGAAGTGCCTTCTCACTGGAGTTAGGAGTTAGGAGTTAGGAGCTGCTGCTGCACTGGGGTTATGAGCACAGTTAGGAGCTGCTGCTTCAAAGTGTGGGTTTCCCAGGGGCTGAACTGGTGGGAGCTTCTTCCCAGCCTACCCATGCTTTGGCAGAAATATTGCCTGCTGTGCTTGGTGCCTACACAGTGCTTTCATACAGCTCTTCTGGAGACTCAGCTGGGAAGGAGATAGCCACGGTGCTTTATGCAAGAAAGCAGCTTAAACAAATTTTAAAGCCTTAGTTAAACATTAACAGTTAATTATGGCTTTGATGCAGAGTAAAGGCGATTGTGATTATGAATGACCTGTGACCTGGCATGTTGTTTGCTGTAAATCGATGCTCAGCTGCCTTGTCTTTCCCAAGCACGAATTAAAATAGCTGGTAGCGACAGACTTCTCTCTGAACTTCAAAGCGAGCGCCTGCGTTTCTGCTGCGTGTGGCTGAGCTGCTGCCAACCTGCTTTTAAGGGAAGGAAACAAACGTTGGAGCGGAGCCCTGCTTGCAGCGTGCGGCTCCTCTACCTGCAGGAGCTGTGGGGGCTTTGAACGCCGCCCAGCGCACTGCGTCTCCAGGGCTGAGCGCTTCCCTTCTGCTCCTCTTCTGGCTGCGTTGCCATCAGGTGCACATGGAAGAGGTGAACTGATCAAACGCTCCTTGAGATGGCTTTAGGGTTTCAGATTGAATATATATATTTTTTAATTAGCTCCGTGTAAAGACTCTTACTACTTCAAATAGCAGCCATGAAACCAGCAGCCTGGCAGTTTGGTCCTTTGTTTTTCCTGGTGCACAGGAAATCTCAGTAGCTGTAGGTTTTAGACCCAGCTACACACCCCAACCACAACTAACAGCCTGCGGAAACATCAAGTGATTATCTTCTAAGTATGCCTATCAGGGACACATGAAAGGAAGTGCTGTGTGGGTACAGTATTAGACTGACAAGTAGCAGAGCAGTCGGTTGCATTTTAACAGGAGCAAAGATGCTTTTCTCTAATATAGCAGAGGATGCCACAGCACAAGTTAAGGAATTTTGTTCACGTGAGAAACCTTTCTTTCCTTATCCTAGTTGCTACAACTCTGCTGTGAAATGGAGAAATGACTTAAGCATTTTTATCTCTTCAATTTTCAAAGATGAGTTGCAGGACCCTCTAGTAGTTCTCTTTCTGAATAAACTTTGTCTCCCCATTCTCCTGGTTAGGGTAGGTGCTTGATGGAGCTTGCCAGCCCAAAGCTGGGTGTAACACAAGCTACTCACAGCAAGCTCTTGATTTTTGGAAGGTTTGGTGATAAAAATGGGGCTGTAACATGGGATTTCATGAGTCTGAGTGAACCAGGGTGGTGACTGTGATGGTGGTGGGCTGTTTCTTGATGCTGTGAATCCTAATTTGTGCTAGGCTAGCAATCTACTGCTGGTGTATTTCTGACAGTCTTGAAAGTTGCTTCGCTGTTCTATGTGACTAGGTGATCTTGCAGGTCATTTCCAACCTTGTGACTCCATGATCCTTTTGTTATCCCAAGGTGTATTTGGGGGCAGCCTCAGATAGGGGTGGACTCTTTTCTGGCTGGGTCATGTGAGCCATGGGCTCTGAGCATACTGGCTGAATGAAGCCTGGATTCTTCAAGGTCGTTGGGGTAAAATGGGTAACCCAATCAATCTCACAGCTCACTCTGCTATGAACATGTTGTGGACTGGAGACCAATTCTTTGCAGTCCTAACTGTCCTGTGATACTGTGGTGCAAGAGCAAAATAGTTGCTTTCCAAGAATATAAAGTGAGGTCTGTATTTTGAGCATCGTGTGGTGTTTTGCCTTCTCATCTTTTAGCAGGTAAATGTCTGTTTTCCTGTCACTGCTTTTTAGCCTTCTGGTTAGCACTCTCTAAGTTGATATCCCCTCAGGAGCAGGCTTCCTTATTTTGCTGCTAGTAACTTGATTTTAATTTGCAGACATCACCGTTGCAGCTGAGCTGGCTGAACAAGCTCAAGAGGCTGTAGCTCTTGAGAAAGCAGCAGAAGTTGGACTGGGCTGCCAGTATTCTGGAACTGAAAGGTGGTGGGGATGTACATCTTCCTGGTGACTCTCAGGACTTCTGTAGGAAACAGATAATGAGTTACCTTATGGAGAAGGTTCCAAGGATTTTGCTTTATTAGTGTTAATTTTTTCCTTTCCTTCCACCGTTCAACCTATAAATGCTGGAGGGATGAATCTGACTTCTCAGCAGTGTTTCAGTATCATCTACACTCAGACAAATCATGGGAACTTGTCAGGATTCTGTTGTGAGTGATCTCAGGCCAGGGAGCAGGAGGTGCTGGGGCTCTCTGCAAAGGGCCAGGGTGGTTGGAAGAGGCACTGGAGAAGCAGGTGAGCTTTTGGTAGTAAGGTCAGTGCTGTGGAATTGTAGCCACATCTGTGAGGCAGATCTGAGTGGTGAGCACTGAACCCAAGAGGTTCCCCTTTGAAATACAGAGGAAAAAAAATCACAGCTTAGGGGTAGGTCTGGCTTATATCCAGAGAAAACCTGTGCATAGATACTGCTTTCCTTCCAGTGACCTTAAAGAGCTGGATGGGTGGGGTGGGAGCTGCAGGTGAGAGATGGAGGCTTTTCTGGGGGCAGGCTCTGCCATCGTAGAGTGTGCCAGGACTCCAGGGCTGGTAAAGACCCAAATACAAATGAGAGTGGTGGGTGAGGGGTGCTAGCAAAGAGCAAAATGCTGGGAGCACTGTGTTCCTTGGCACACTGCACGTGCTGTCATGTTGTGGCTGGGCCTCCTGGAGGTAATGGCCCTTGCAAAGAATGATTTGACCAAGGGAGGAAGGTGCAGGGAGAAGCAATAGAAGTTTCAGAGGGGAAGGGTGAATCTGGGAGAAAGAGGACTGGCTTCTCAAAGCCAAAGAGGAAACGTCCAGGTACCAGGCTTCTCAGAAGGCAGCTGGAAAAATGCAGGGTAGTGTGTATCATGGGTCACCCAGTATGGGAAGGGAGATGACCTGAAGGGCCCTTCTGGGCTCTTTGCAGTGAGCTTGCTGTTCTTGAATTCTTATCACTTAACACTCAGTTTCTTCCAAGTCTAAAGTGAGGAAATTGAATTAATTTTATGGGAACGCCACCGTGCCTGATCCACTTGTACTAATCTACAGAACTCTTGGATGGCTCTTTCAGGGCACTGTAGAGACGTGCTAGCAATGTTTGGAGCTGCTAAAATGGAGTAACACGTACAGTGTTTCCTGTGGGAATGATGACTGTAGTCTTTGTTATCCTAGGACTTCTCCAGCTGACGAAAGGAACGGTCCTTGGATGAAAAGGAGACCTGTCCCTGGGCACGTGGAGGGTTTGATGTTGGATCTGTGTGTTTTGGGAGAAGCACGACGTGGAGGTCCTCGTGGTGTGTGCACAGCGTGGTTTTCCTGATTTTGGTTTATTTAGCAATTCTAGGGCTGTTTGTAGAAGAACCGAGCCCTTTATTCTTCCATGAACATTCCTTGAACGTTCCTGACATCCTGGGCTGCTTTAAGGGAATCTGAAAGTACAAGTAGGATGCCATGAGGTTTTGTATTGCTTATACAGATTGTTCTTTAAAAGGTTATGTTTAATATTGTTTTTGTTCTGAGAAAATAAACCGATCTGAGAACTAGTGCTGGCAGGACTTGTGCCAGTTTATTGTGCAAGAGTGATTAATGTCTCTTTCAGTGTAAGGAACTGGAATTTGGAAATAGAGTCCAGTTTGTTAATGTAGCTAACTGCTTGGGCAACAGCATGCTATGCTCTTTCTTTTGGCTGAACATTCCAGTGAGTGTTAATACTATATTTCAAATTACCTCAGAATACCATCTTTTCCCCTTCAAATATTGCTGACTTTACTAGCGTTGATCAAGTTGGTTTCCTTTCGGAGCAGAACACGCCGTGTTCCCCTTGCATCATTCTGAACACAGGCATGGCTGGGCTGATAAATGCAAAACCTCTTGGTGAGGTGGCAGCAAGGCAGTGTAGAAGCTGCAAGAAGCCACGTGGATTCTGCAAAGAAGGAACCTGGTAACACGGAACACTGTTTTAATGATATTTTTCCCATCCGTGTTTGACTAGTTTGGATAATGTCTTCTAAGCATAATTCAGTGCCTTGTTGTTGACTTGCAGGGCAGGGAGAGTTGCCTGTGGTCAGTGTGTGTTCCAAGGTGGCCTCTTGCCAGGAGAGAAACGTCTGAAGTGCTCTTGTTTTCCCCAGTTCTGCCGACATCTTTATGGCTTTTTGGACTCAATACCACCACGCTCTGATGGTATCTTAAAATAAAATGCCCTCTTGGTAGGACATACTGGAGAGGAAAAAAAAAAAAAGAAAAAAAAAAAAACCCAACAGTTAGGAAATCTTGAGTTGGCAGCAGCCTGCAAGCACATTTTGGAGCTCTCTGCCTGTTGTAGTCCTCTGTGCTTCTGGAGAACCATCTTGATCTCTGAGAGGGGTGCTCAGATCCTGCCGCACTGCTTAGCGGGAGGAAAGCAGATCAAAGGGGAACGTGGGCTTTGGGTTTCTTATGGTTTCCTTAAGAACAATCTGATTAATACTGCTTTTTGTCAGACCAGCTTTTTCCAAAAGCCTCCAAGAGTATAAACAGGAAGGTGGAGGGGAAGGAGAGTTCTATAATACTAATTATCTTAATTATAGAGCGCAGGGCTTCATCTCGTTGCAGGAGTTTTGATGTGCAGTGACAACACACAACTGAAAAAAGCAAGCGTTGCGTGGAAGGCTGTAACTGAGCTGCTGCCCAGCTCAGAGCCCTGGCAGGTGACAGGCCTGGGCTTCACAGGAGAAGCGTGGCTGCTTTCCTGTGTTTGGGTTCCTGTAGCCGTGTGTGTGCTTCCAGCTGCTCTGCCCACAGACGGCACAGCAGCCCTGTGTGCTGTCCTTGCCTTGCCATGTCCCGTCCCCTTTTGGTTCCCAGCACCAGCGCCTTGCTGGTTCCTCTTTGCAGGGCCGACACTAGATGGCAATGCCTCCCTCGTAATACTGCAGCACGGCAGGAATCCCGGGGTTTGTTTTTGATGGGCTCTATCATGGATAGTAGTCCTTTTCTGCACAGATTGCTCCACTGGCTTCCTTGCGTTGGAAGCTGATGCCAGTTTCCAATGTGAAGCAGAGGATTGTGTTTCATGACAGATAGGATAAGATGGGAGACCTGAGGGCAGACGTGTGGCAGAGTTCTCCAGCTCAAGGTTGCCGTGCCTCTCGGAGCTCCCTCAGCATCCTGACGTTTTGGCACTTGGATGCTGGCTTTTGGCTGCTGGGTCAGGGGAGCACGGCATCCATTGGAGCGGATTTGCAAATGGAAACTTGGCACAGCAGCGTAAGTGGGAGATCTGGTGGAGGCACAACGCGCTGCTCCCCAAACGTGTATGGACAAAACCCATCACCAAAGGCACCATCCAAGGCACAGGCATTTAAATGCATAAGTAGACCTGGATGGGATTGCTCACTGTGTCCCAAAAGGGATTCCTGCAAATCTCTGCTCCTGTTGGCTGCCAGCTGAGCACGCTGCAGTGCTGCAGCAACGGGGACTGCAGGTCCCACACCACCTCCCAGCCCCACCACATCTGACCTGCAGGCCGTCTCTAGCTTGCTGATTGGTTTACTGAGGTATTAAAGACTTTGAGTTGTCAGCTAGAGTTTGTTGAAGGGAATTTTGGAGTTCTGCAATTTTTCTATGCAAGGTGAATGTGAAAAATGACTTTGCTGATATTTTTTATTATTATTATTTTGCTTTTATTCCTCTTGAAGAAAAAGAATAAAACTTTCCATCTCTGGGCAAGATCAAAAATGCGTTACCATCTTTAGTTGGCATTAGAACAGAAATACAAGTCCGTGAGCAAAACAGAAAAATTTCCACAAAGAAACACAGTTTCTGATTGTTAACGGGAAAATGTGGGCCTTTGAGAAAGTTGCTACTGAAATATTTATTTTTGGCCCAAAAGCCACTTTCCCCCCCTCCTGCCGCCCCAGCCGCCCCCCCTTCTTTAAATAGTTTGACAAATATCTTCAGGGTGTTTGGTGGAGGAACCGTTCCAAAGGCAGGTTACCTCTCACAGCTCAGAAGTGGTCTTGTATTTCCAGTTTGGGTTTATCTAATGTCAACTTGCAGCTTCTGAACTTTGCCGAGCAATTAAAATATTATCTGATATTGTATGATGTTTTCCCAGCCTGGGTGTGCTCAGCTTTAATCTGAGCCCAAGATGCTGGGTGCCCTCATGTCTCCCTGTCTCTTTGGTTTCTTGGGCTGTGAGGTGAGGATCAAACTGATGTGAGCTGTGTGTAACAGCCCCTGCTCCTGCGTGTGCCGTGCAGCTCCCAGGCTGTCTGTGGGCACCGTGCCTCTGCTGCTGCCTGCAGTGGTGGCAGTCAGTGCTCTAACCCTGGAGCGTGTTGGTGGCGTTGGTGGCCCTGCGCTGCTACATGTGGGCTGTGCACACAGCTCTGCCACGTTTGGGTTGGTGCAGGAGCTGCCCGTCCCTCTGTGCCGGCCCTGGTGAGGCTGCATTCAGTGCTGCGTTCAGTGCTGGGCTCTCACTGCAAGAAAGACGTGGAGGCCCTGGAGTGTGTTCAGAGAAGGAATGGAGCTGTGAGGGCTGTGGAGCACGCGTCTGATGGGAGCGGCTGGGGGAGCTGGGATGGGTCAGAGTGGGGCAGAGCTCAGGGGAGGCATCACTGCTGCCTGCAGCTGCCTGAAAGCAGGTGGTGGGGATGGGGGTCGGCCTCTGCTCCCTGGTGACAGCGATAGGATGAGAGGTGATGGCCTCACATTGCACCAAGGGAGGTTAGGGATGGATATTAGGAAAAACTTCTCCAAAAAGCAGTGGCACAACTGCCCACAGAGTGGTGGGGTCACCATCCCTGGAGGAGTTCCAGAGCCGTGGGGGTGGGGCGCTGAGGGATGTGGGCAGTACTGGTGGCAGGTGGGTGGTTGGACTACGTGACCTTAGAGGTCTTTTCCAACCATAACAGCTCTACAAAGCATGGGTTGGCAAAACTGGAGATGAGGCGGCACGTTGAGGGCACGTGGGAACCCACAGGCATTGGTGGTGATGGGGACGCCAAGCTCAGCCCTGCAGGCACATCTCCCCATCACTGGTGGGCACTGGGGGGGGACAGAGAGTGCTGAGGTATGGCCATCACCTGTCCAGTGTTCCTGCCGTGCCTTGGTGGCCAGCCCCAGGCTGGTGACCTCTGCTCAGCACCCAAGGACAGCAGGCACACTCCCATGTACTGAGCACCCTGTGGCCCATCACTGCAGCCCGTTCCCTGCTCAGCCGTGAGCCCCGTAGTGCAGGGCAGCCCCAGGCTGGGCTGCTTAAGGCCTTGAGCCCTTTTTATTTCAGCAGCCAGGCCTGGAAACCACTCAGCAGCACGGGCTGCCTGGCCAGGGCCATGCGGGCACCCAGCTCCCTGCCCTGAGTTTGTGTTGGCACAGGCTGGGGAACGAAGCTGGTTTAATTGGCAGTTGTGTTTGTGGCCAGGGTGTTATGAAAAGGTTTTCTGTCTCCCTCTGTAAGTTACCCTGAATATGTTTTCATTCTTAATATAATATTCACTTCATTATTAGCTGAAAGAGGCTCTTTTGAGAGAGGGTTTTTTTTTCCCCTCTTCCAAAAATATATTAAACGGTCTCTTCATGCAGCAGCACTCTGAGGACTGGGATTGTCTACTGGAGGGGAAGTGAGAAACCCGCTGGTAAATGGGATTTATACAGAAATTCCTTTCTTTCACCGTGCCCCGAGTGCCACAGCCTGCAGGCGCTGTTGGACGGTGCTGTCTGCAGGGAGACCCCCTGGGTGCAGCCCCATGGCACACTCTCTCTGGTCCTCCAGCAAGCCTCTGCCCTGGCTGTGTGCTCCCTGCCTGTGGGAAAAGCCCTCTGACCTCAGTGTGGGTCTTCTGAGGGCCAAGGCTGGTGCTAATATTGGGCTTGTGGGGTGCCCAGGGCTGGCCAGCACCCATGGAGCCATAGAATCGCCTGAAGGAAGAGATCCCTGGGGATCCCTGAATCCAACTCCTCGCTCTGCACACAACCACCCAAAATTCAAACCATGTTTCTGAGAGTCTTGTCCAAACGCTCCTTAAAATCCAGCAGGCCTGGGGCCATGACTGCTGCCCTGGAGAGCCACTGCAGTGTGCAGCCCCTCGCTGGTTAAGAACCTTTTTCCAGCACCCAACCTGAACCTGTCCTGAGGCAGCTTCATGCTGTTGCCTCGGGTTCCCTTTCTCTCCCATAGAGGAGGGTGAACCCAGGCGGCAGCATGTTGCTGTCCTGGAGGGTTTGCCACCAGCAGAGACCAGCAGCTCCAGTTTGGATCCAGCCTCCACCAAGGGTTGGTTGTTGGGGAGATTTCCCCCAGGTAGGCTGGGCAGCTCTGGCTGAGCACGCAGCCCCACTGCCCCCTTCTGCAGCCAGCAGCAGGGCCTGATGTGCTCGAGTTGCAGGAGGGGCATCCTCGCACACAGCAGTCTAGTGAGCCTGGGGTGTCCCTGGAAGGGTCCTGCTGCCCTGAGCTGCAGTGTTACTGCCGGGGGGGGGCGGGTGGGAGGAGCAGCATCCTTGCAGACCTCCAGCACCCTTCCTCCTTCCCTGGAACACATTCAAATCATAA